GTCTGCCTCACGGACTAAAACTGGTAGTTGGTTCCACAGGAGAGGAGCCTGAGAACTAAAAGATGCTGTTATTCTAGTAGAGAAGCAGAAAGGCGCTGAGCGTCATAAATCTCCACCCTCCTGCTCTGTGATTGGTCCAGCCAGATCTGGCTGGAGTCCATGACGGTTTACTAGACTGAATTAGGCCAGGCTAGCCGCTAACAGTAAGACTAATATGTTGTTAAATGATCTAATGTCCCTCCTTAATCAGAATATCTTTGAACATTTCAATATCACTGACGATTCTGTTTATGGTTTCTGGGTGACGAAAATACATCAGTCTGTTTATCAGACGGTTCTACTGTATAAATGATTTAGCCTGCAGCGATCATGATCTGATTTAGCTGATAACGGACCAAAGGAGCTAAAAGCTGATGTGGAATCCCTCTTTTGTCAGGAGCTGAGCAGGATGCGGTCCCGGAGCATGTGCAGAAGATCTGCTCCTGCCAGCAGCACCGCCGAGGGGAGTCTGTTCAGGATGAGGAGCCGCAGCGCCCACAGAGAGCAGGACCTGCCCGGTTTGGTGAGTCCAGCTTACAAAGGAAAACTTGTCTGCCTATATTTAGCCTGATGGGCTCTCCCACACAGCCAGGCTTTCAGTCAGGGAGGTTAATTACTGCTGAACTTTGATGCAGGGCAACCTGATGATTCATGCTGTTGGCATCACCTGCACCTTTGGAGCCTTTATGGCCAAAATGGGTCCAACACATTCAGTCGCCTGTCCTTCCAGACAGAAACAAACCATTATGAGGCTGATGGTTGGAGAACCTGCATGGGTTGAGGAAACCTGTGAGGTGGAAAAGTCAGCCGTGATTATGAGTTAAACACGCACATAGTGAATTCCTCCTCTGCTACCCGCTTCCTTTTGTTTTCATCAAGCCGCCTTTTTTTTCTCCTTCAGTCCTCGGTTGAGTAAACAGATCCTGCAGAACTAGAGCTGCATGCATCACAGCCACACCCCCAGCGGGTCATTAAGGCCTCATGGTGGTGCTCAGTCACCCAGGGTTGGGCTGAGTTTGCTCTTTGATACCAACTCTGTAGGCGGACCGACAGCAGCGACCCAGACCAGCTCATCGCCGCCACCTAGCGGCTGTAAATGGCAGTGACCCTACTGCATAGTTATTATAGCCAGTGCTATATTAACTATAAATTCAAAATAGACCAAAAACCTATCAAACGTATACTAAGTTATCACACCAGTATAAAACACATTTATATGAATTCCAACAACAAAAAACATGATAAAAACACTTTATAAAAACAAAACATCATTTCATTCTCCAGGTTTACTTTTTGTCCATAGATGTTGCCATTTTGAGGATTTCTGAAGGTAAATCTATGTTCTCCATCGTGCAATATTGGGTCAAAATCCTAAAAAAATGTACCAGTTTAATAATGGAGAAGCTATTATTTAGCTTTATATTTTTTAATATATAAAAAGTATTTATTTTCTGAGAATGTGTTTATTTAAGAGCAACTATGCAAATGAACAAACATGTAGAAAAAGTAGACTATATTCTATTAGTTTCCATGTGAATCCCAGATTGTTCATTATTTTTTTCTAAAGTGCTTTAAATCAGTCCTAGCTGTCTTTATCCACGCTGGCTCAGATCCTGACCTTTGAATCAGGAGGCAGGGAAAGCAGGATAAAGCCTTAGCCTCGCTGCATGCAGTTAGCCTCGCTGCATGCAGTTAGCCTTGCTGCATGCAGTTAGCCTCGCTGCATGCAGTTAGCCTTGCTCCATGCAGTTAGCCTCGCTGCATGCAGTT